GAAAACTTTTCCACTTTTGGTGAAATTGAAGCTGTAAAGGTACAAAACTTGTCTTTGCCAAAAATAAAATTAGTTAAACAGATATTGGTAATAATAATAACAGACTACATTATGATTTGTCTAGGAGGCAGGTTTTTGGGTCACTGTGTTAACTTTGCACCCCTTAGTTAATGACTCAAGCACAAACTACAAAAAATCATCTACTATACTGCAGATACCACAACATTAACCCTTTACCACCTAAGAGTGCAAATCGGCACACAAGGTCATAGTTTTGTGAATATTTGATAGATTTCTATGAATTTTTGCCATGAAAATTGTCTTGTGAAGATCTGCTCATTGAAGTCATAAAATTTTGACCCCCTCCCATCCAAGACATGATTGACCACCCCCAGAAGTTTTTAGTTCCTTTTTCGGGATGCAAATGGAATGCAAGACCTGTTTCATATCAAGCTATGCATTAAGAGCTGCTAAATAAGCTACAGTTTAGTGGTATACCTAATATAGTAGAAGATTGATGCATTTTTTAACTCGTTCATTTTCCCATTTTAAAGCAATTTCTCTCAAAATGTCTACCTCCTTCCTAGCTGCTGATGTCAATTCTTAAATAAGCTGATTAGTGGCTTTCAAGTAGCATATTATAATTATTGTACACAGGAAGAGTGTCTTTATTTGCCGATTTGGGAAAAACTGCCATTTGCCTCAGGGGGTAAAGGGTTAAAAAAAAAATTAAAATCCAGGACATTGCCAATAATTTACCCTCTTGACCCCAGAAAAGTTGTTAAAAAGACAGCTCCCCAGATTCAACCATAAAACTGCATGAAATATTCTCAAATTTCCCCTAAAAAGTCATCAAAAATTTGCCAAAACGAGGGTAGAAAATGTAGTTGAAAATGCGTTTCTTCATATCTAGTGGATTTCGTGATTTGTACGGGAGACACAGGAGATTCAGTCTGTATCACAGGAGACTCTGATAAGATAATCCAGGAGGGTTGGCATAGATGACATTGCTCTTTATACATAGAGTCTTTTTATCCTATTTTTTTCATAATATATACAAAATATAATACTCTTAAAATAACAAATAAAGTGTGGATTAGAAAAGGTGAAACTTTTGATCCTTAGCCAAGACACTTTTCTTTAAGTGGAAAATTGCAAAGTTAAATTCTGTCAGCTGTGGCATGGTGTG